TTGTGGTATATGAATGTAATGGAATACTATTGTGCTATAAGAAATGATGAACAGGCTGACTTCAGAAAAACCTGGAAAGACTTATATGGTCTGATGCTGAGTGAAGTGAGCAGAACCAAGAGGACTTTGTACACAATAACAGCCATGTTATGCAATGACTAATATTGTTAAACTGAACCCTTCTCAGCATTACAAGGATCTAAGACATCTCCAGAGGCCTTGGATGGAAAATGCTGTCCACATCCAAAGAAGGAACTATGGAAGTTGAATCTATCACTTATTTTTACCTTCTGTTGAGTTTTGTTTCCTCTTTCTGATGGTTCCTCCTATTGGTTTTAATTTTTACTTACAACTTCACTAATGTGAAAATATGTTTAATGGGTATGCAAATGTAAAGCCTGTATCAGATTGTGTGCTGTCTTGGGGAGGGTGGGGGTGAGGAAGGGGGAGAAAAATTTTCAACTCAAAAGCATATGGAAGTGATTATTGATAAATCAAAATAAATTAATAAAATTTTTTAAAAAAGAAAAAGAAAACAACATCTTTGTTTTTAAAACTTTGGGTTCCAAATTTTCTACCTTCCTCCCTCCCCATCCTCATTGAAAAGGCAAGCAACCAGATACAGGTTATACATGTGTAATCATGCAAAACACTTCCATAGTAGTCATATTGTGAAAAACTAAGTATATTTCCTTTAATCCTATCCCACCCCCCATTTACTCTATACTCCCTTTTGACCCTGACCCTCCTTAGAAGTGTTTGCTTCTGATTACTCCCTCCCCCAATATGCCCTCCTCTCTATCATCCTCCTGCTCTCTTGTCCCCTTCCCCCCCCATTTTCTGGTAGGGTAAGATAGATTTCCATACCCAATTGAATGTGTATATTATTCCCTCCTTAAGCCAAATCCAATGAGAATAAGATTCACTCATTCCCTCTCACTTTCCCCCATTTTCCCTCCACTATAAAAGCCTTTTCTTGTCTGTTTTATGTGAGAGAATTTACCCCATCCTACCTCTCCCTTTTCTCTTTCTCCCACTATAATCCTCTCACTCCTTAATTTTATTCTCCAGATATCACCCCTTCATTTTCAACTCACCCTGTGCCCTCTATCTATCTATCTGTGTATCTATCTACATGCATATAATTTTTTTTCCCTCCAACAACTCTAATGCTGACAAAGGACTCATGAGTTACAAATATCATCTTTCCATGCAGAATGTAAACAGTTTAACCTTAATAAGTCTCTTATGATTTCTCTTTCCTGTTTACTTCCTCATGTTTCACTTGAGTCTTGTATCTGAAAGTGAAATTTTCTATTTAGCTCTGGTCTTTTCATCAAGAATGCTTGAAAGTCCTCTATTTCACTGAATATCCATTTTTCCCCCCTGAAGGATTATACTCAGTTTTGCTGGGTAGGTGATTCTTGTTTATAATCCTATCCCCTTTGCCCTCCAGAATATTCTATTCCAAGCCCTGTGGTGCCTTAATGTAGAAGCTGCTAAATCTTGTGTTATCCTGATTGTGTTTCCACAATACTTGAATTGTTCCTTTCTGGCTGCTTGCAATATTTTCTCCTTGACCTGGGAACTCTAGAATTTGGCTATAATATTCCTAGGAGTTTTCTTTCAGAGATCTCTTTCCAGAAGTGATTGGTGGATTCTTTCAATTTCTATTTTGCCCTCTGGTTCTAAAATATCAAGGCAGTTTTCCTTGATAATTTCTTGAAAGATGATGTCTAGGTTCTTTTTTTGATCATGGCTTTCAGATACTCCAACAATTTTTAAATTCTCTCTCCTGCACCTATTTTCCAGGTCAGTTGTTTTTCCAATGAGATATTTCACATTGTTTTCTATTTTTTCATTCTTTTGGATTTATTTTACAGTGTCTTGATTTCTCATAAAGTCACTAGCTTCCAGTTGCGCCATTCTCATTTTTAAGGAAGTATTTTCTTAAATAAGCTTTTGGACTTCCTTTTCCATTTGGCCAATTTTGCTTTTGAAGGCATTCTTCTCCTCCTTCACTCTTTGGACTTCTTTTGCCATTTGGGTTAGGCTGTTTTTTAAGGTGTTATTTTCTTCAGCATTTTTTGGGTCTCTTTTAGCAAGCTGTTGACTTTTCATGATTTTCTTGCATCACTCTCATTTCTTTTCCCAGTTTTTCCTCTACTTCTCTTACTTGCTTCTCAAAATCCTTTTTGAGCTCTTCCATGTCCTGGAACCAATTCATATTTTTCTTGGAGGCTTTGAATGCAGCAGCTTTGACTTTGTTGTCTTCTTTTGATTGTATGTTTTGATCTTTGTCAGCAAAGAAAGATTCTATGGTCTGACTCTTTTTGTGCTACTTGCTCATGATCCCAGCCAATTACTTGAGTTTAAGGCAGGGGTCTGCTTTCAGTGTGGAGAATGTACTGTCTCAAGCTTTGGGGGTTTTGTGCAGCTGTTTTCAGAGATACTTTTAGGGACCTGTAAATTTTCAGTTCTTCCAAGGTGCTATGATCAAGGGCGAAGTGTTTACTCCTTTCCTGGCCTGTGCTCTGATCTATGAGTAACCACAAGCACTCTTTTATGTCTTGGGACTGTGAGGAGGATTTTCTCTCTACCACCAGTACAAGCTCCACCATGCCAGCACTCCTCCTTGTCCCAGGACCACAACCCAGAAATGTGACCCAGATCCAAGCATGGACAAAGCAAGAGAATCCTGCCTCAGCACCAGCAGAGAGATCTCTGCAATCTCCCTCTGATCAGCCACTGGATTCCCCCTCAGTCTCTGGGCCTGAAGCTCTGGAAGCCCTGCCACCCCAGGGCCATGCTTGGGGACTGGGGCTGGGACCGAGCTTCTCTCTCACCACAGACACAGACTTTCCCTACTGACTTTCTAAGTTGTGTTTGGTGTTCATGGGTTGAGAAGTCTGGAAAGCGCCACAGCTGGCTGTGATTCAGTCCTCTGAGGCCTGCTCTAGGTTTGCTGAGGCCTGCATGCCATGCCAAACTGTGTTCCTCTCCCAGCCTGGTGCGATATGCCTTTCCAATCAGCCATGCAAGTTGTCTTGGGCTGGAAATTTGTTTCACTTTGTCTTTTTGTGTGTTCTGCTGCTTTAGAATTCGTTTAGAGCCATTTTTTATAGGTATTTGGAGGAGCTTGGGGAAGAGCTCAAGAAAGTCACTGCTTTTACTCCACCATCTTGGCTCTGCCCCCCAAAATATTTGTTTTTAATGAAGGTTGGAGATGGCTCTTAAAAGAATTTGAGGTCATTTTCTTTTTATTCCATGAAAAAAATAAATCCCACTCATAACATAACGATTCCAAAAGTTTTCTTGTTCTTTTATGTGGTAATCTAGAGAAATACATCAAATTATTAAGAATGGGTTCGAATAGTACCCTAAGGGAAAGAGAAAGTAAAAGGATTGCCATTTACTATGCTCTGGTAATAATTTTAAATTGTCTTTTTTTTTTAGATGCCTTTGATTCTATGACTAAATCCTAAATTTGTGTTGTTCCAAATTTCATGCAAAACTTTGTTGTTGTTGAACCATGGAATATTTTTCCCCTTATCAACTTTCCAAAAATTGCTCGCCTAAACTTTATCACTTAGATCTAGATAAAATTGTGATCATTGTATATTTTACTATTTAATAGAATATTACTTTACAATACATCATATATTAGTTATGTGCTAGACTACTATATGATATCTAATATTACACCAAGATTAATGACCAGTTATCCACCAAATCAGATTACCTGAAGCTAGAATCTTGAAACATGAATGCACTTAAGTATTAAAAGAATAGAGATAGTAGGACTTTGGCCATTTGGCAAGCCACTTCATTATAAGGATGTGCATATCTAACATATCCTTTGTGTGATTGTGATTCTGCTTAGCTCATAGAGCACAGTGCCTTCTATCCCAGCATCTCACAAGTGATATTAAAGTTCTTCAGAGAGACTTTGAGAATGCCCTTGTATTGTTTCTTCTGACCTTCTTGTGAACACCTGCCTTGTGTGAGTTCTCTGTAAAATAATCTTTTAGGTAAATGTACATTTGTCATTCAGGTGACATCTTCATCCCAAATGTTCAAACCAACTATTTGTGCCCAACCTGTGGTAGAGCCTTATGAGCTCATTATTGGACTGATCAGCCACAGTTGAACACACTGTACCTTGACAATGACATGATGATGTCATTGGTCCTCTTTGAGGTCAAACAACAATAATCATTATCAGGATGCTAGAAAAAAGATTACCATCTTTTTATTTATTATATATGATATTTAATTTTATGTATTATGTTTTTGTTATAATCTATAATAACTTATTTTTAAAACATGGACAAAAGATGCATAAGATGTGAAGGTATGGATATATTTTGATATATATTTGATAGCCCATTTTAGTTCTGAGGGTCTTTATCTGACTCCACTCTCACTGATATGCCCTAGGTCCCCAGAGCTTAGCTGCATTGCTTCCTCAAGGAGCTACAGGGACCATTGCCATTGACTTGAGCCCCATCATTTTGTCTCTCTGTGATATCATTAATTGAGAATCACTTTAGTCTCCCAGACTTAAGTAGCTTTGGATCAAATAAAATTACATATGCCCATAAAGCAAACCTTACAGTGAGATATATACACACACACACACACACACACACACACACACACACACACACACACATATATATATATATATATATATATATATAATATATATATATATATATATATATATATATATGCTAGATTTTATTATTTTAGAAAGGGGAATTTACAAAACTTTTAAAGAAGAACATTTGGTACAAAGTATTTCCTCAGCTGCCTATGATACATTCTCTTACAAGTACATAGAGTCCAGAAAAAAATGGGTTCTGACTTAGAGATCTGATGTGGCAAAGAGGTAACTTAAAGGGCTACTTGCTGCAAGTCTTTTTTTTTTTGACAATATGCAGGGTATTCATGAATTTTCCTTTAACCATGGTGAATCTGTATCTTTGTGTCCTTAGCTTTCTACGTAGACCTGATGATGAGGCACATCACTAGAATACCAATGAGAATATGGTAAGTCCAACATCTTCCAGAACCTTTGAAGCTTGCAAAGTATTCCTCAAGCCACAGTATAGAAAGGAGGATGGAAAGCTGGACAAGGCCAAAGACAGTGCCTCCTCCTTCACCCAGTAACAGTTGCTTCTCAGAGAAATTCACTCCAGTTTTTGGCTTACCAATTTCTAGAATTCCTTTCCTTCTCAACTGACCTGATAATTTACACATGATCCTTCAGTGTGGACAAGTTTCCTCAGCTTAAGTGAAAAAGATTCTTGTATTCTTGTGCAACTCGTTCCAGTTCAAAGTACTTTTAGCATTTAATCTAAGGCTTATGAGTGACTGAGGTGTACTCTTACCTAATTAAAGTATCAAGAATATTTGCAAGGAGCACCTACATCAGTGAGATTGAATTATGCGAGTAAAATATTTATATAACATTTTACAGTTTACAAAGCAACTTCATATATGTTATTTTATTTGCATTTCACATACATTATCCTTATAACAACTCTATGAAGTAGGCAGGATATTCTTACTTTGGAAGTAAAGAAACTAGGGTGCAGAAAGTTGTATTGATGCTTTGTGATCTGTATGAACTCAGATCATTCGGTACCTTTGGGCCTCAATCTTCAGGACAGGGACAATGAAGGGAAATATGAAGAGAGGAGGCAGAACAGATGATATCTTAGATGCTTTCTGTAGTTCTGTGACATCCTATTAAGCTGCAAAGCTGTGAGCGCAATATAAGTGTTGTGTTTGTTAGATCAGCAGTTGCTCAATTTCATTAAGACTAAATTTCTTCATCTGCAAAGTGAGGTTGTTAGACTAGATTAAGTAATGGAATTAGGGGTATTATCTTGGAGAAGAGGAGCCTCAGTGGGTACAGGAGAGTTATGAAGCATTCAAAGGGCTGTCATATGGGAAGGGAATTTTACTTGTTCTGTTGGCCCAATAGGACTGAAAATTACAAAAATAAATAAGTAAATAAGACAATGTAAGGGAAAAAATTCCAATGATTAGAACTATTCAAAAGTGGAATGTGCTGACCCTAACAATAGTGAATTCCCCACTACCACAAGAGGTTTTCAGGCAAAGCTAGTTTACTTCTTGGGGATATCATTGAGGGAATTCCTATTTATGGATAATTTGCAGTCACTGGCCTCTCAGGCTCATCCCAGTTCTGAGATTCAATGATTTTGTGATCTCCATGATAATTATCCTATGACTTTTGTTCTAATGAATCAAGCCCCATTCTTTATCCTATAGCACATTGACTTTTTCAATAATCAAGAGTGGGCAAACATAGCCAGGTCCTAGAACTATGGGACTATCTTTGCAGCTTGGAAAAAAACACAAAATGAAAACACAACACTACTCCAACACAGTAAGAGCCTGTATAGCACCACTTTTTATAAATGTTAGTAAATGAATGAAACTTATTATGACCAAGAGGTTGGGCTCATTGAAATCTTACATTTATTTATACAGGTGTCTCAAAAATCTCAGTGCCATTTTAAGCTTTGATAGCTTAAATCAAAGCTTTGATATCAAATGGTCAGCAAGGATTTAACTGCCTTGTATATGTCAGGTATTGTGCTAATAAGGACTAGGAATACAAAGATAAATGTGAGATAGTTGAAATAGATGGATAGATAGATGATGGATGGATAGATATTTGTACATATGTGTATCTATTATAATACAAAATGAAGAAAAAATCATTTGGAGAGAAAGTATATTAAAAGCTGGGAGGAGGGATCAGAAAAGGATACATTTAAAAGACAGTGGTTGAGCTGAGTCTTGAAGGAAAGCAGGGATCCCAAGAGGCAAAGTATTTTTTTTTTATATAGAGAGGGAGTGTATTGCAGGTGTGGGAGCCAGCTCTCCAAAAGAAAGCCATGGAAATGCCAAATGGAGGGGTGTCTAGATCATAGAGTGGGTGGAGGAAAATAATGTGAAAGAAAACTAGAAAGATAGGAAGGGGCCAGGTTATAAAGAGCTTTAAGTGCCAAACAGAAGAGTTTATATTTAATCCTAGAGGTTAATAGGCAGCTTCAAGAGGTTATTGAGTAGGGGAGTGACATGGCTGGACTGATGGGACTCAGCAGTGCTGGCACATCTTAGGTGCTTAATGAATGTTTATTGCTTGATTGCTTGGGGTTTTAGGAAAATTATTTAAGTGCCTGGGGAAGATGAATTGGAGGTGGAAGAGGTAGAAGAATGGAAACCAAAAAAGGAGGTTATTTCAAAAGTCTAAGTAAGGTGAGGAAAACCTGAAATAGTTTGGTTGTTGTATGAGTAGTGAAGAGGGTATGTAAGAGATGTGGAGATAGAAATGATAAGATTTTGCAGTTGACTGGATATGTAGGCTGAGTGTGAAGAGTTGAAGATGACATTGAGGTTGCAAACCTGGATGACTGGAAGGTTGGTGGATCCCTTTAATCGGGAAGTTTGGAAGTGGGGTGAAATTGGAAGGAAAGATAATATGGTCTGTTTTGGATATATTGAGTTGGATATGCTTAGGGAAAATAAAATTTAAAATGTTTTTCAGTCAACTAGCAATACAAAACCTGAATCTCAGGGAACTAGAGTCAGTATGTTGATATGGGATGATGCAGCCTTTGGAACAGGAATTGAGTGGGGTCAGAAATACACTTTATTTACACAAATGGAAGCTCTAACTTTTTCATTTTAAAAAGATTCCTCAGTCTTTAAAAACCATGAGTATTTGAAGAAGGGTACTAGAGCTGTGGGAATTAGAACTGTTTGATCTTAGCATGATCTAAAAAGAAATGCACAATTTAATCATCTGCATAGAGATAATAATTGAACTCATAGAAACTGGTGAAATCATGAAGAGAATAGTGGGGAAAGAAAAAAGCCCCAGAACAGACTTTTGAGACTCATCCACATATAACCGGTGTGATATGAATGGTGATCCATCAAAAGAGACTGAGAAGAAGCAGTCAGACTGGTAAGAAATAAAACCAGGAAAGAAAATCAAGAAAATAAGTCAATGTCAAATGCCGCAGCAGCGAGCAGAGATCTGACGTTATAGATGACTCAAAACTGTGCACGTGGAGAAGCTGCTGGCCACAAAGGGGATCTGATGAGGTTCAAGGGAGGAATGAGAGGGGAAGCTAGGATCACATTCCCCACATTAACCTTCCAGAGTCCAGGGATACATATATACACCAGAATCTCGTCACCGTCCCACTCCCCTGTTCTGTGGTCACTCGGTACAACCTTCTGTGCAGCAAGGCCCAAAATGGGCACAGTGAGCCTCTGAGAAGATGCTATTCAGTTTCTCTCACCATAAGTCCTCTTCTCTCATGGGGCAATGCATAAGAAGAGGCCTAAAGGCCATGAGGACAGATTGTCTTCCAACTCTGGGGAAAACCTGAAGTGAGGACGACTGTGCTCCCAGGGCAGGACTACTGAGACTTTAACTCACTGAGAAAGGAGGAGTATCCTAGCCCCCTCAAAGTTCTCTCATATCTGTAGGCCTCTTCAGATTGATCCCTTGGTTTTCTTATCCAGAGAGGGCTTCAAACCAATGTCCCTAGTTTGAGCTTTAGGAATAACTTAACTGTTGGGGGAACAACTATATGGTGATGGGGTCAATTCACTTGCTCACTGAGGATTTTTTTCCCCAGGGAAAGGGAAGTGATACAGGTTAGTGAGCAGGAGCTCAGGGAGCTTGGGACAAGGAGGAATGGGTCGCAGCATAGCCTGCCTCAGGGTTGGTTCACCAAGATCCTTCCCCAGTGCCCACCAGAGCAGTGGTTTCATATGTCAATATTATGATCCTGTGCATGTGCCTGGTGCAGGACTGGGGAAGGGGTATACCTCTGCATGTGAAATCTTGAACTGTACATGTACTTTCTAGTGGAGAAATCAAGGCTGTGACGATTTTGTTTTTAGTATAAAGAAATGTGATTTCCTTCCTATTCGTAACTCATAATAGAGACATTTTGGTGAGAGAGAGAGGGGGTAATCCTACTGCTAACAAGGGAAACACCAAAGATCAATGTCATTAAAATGATGGCTACCCATCAAAAAATGCTACAGCAGTCAAGAAGGATGGGGTTGGCAAAGGAATAATTAGGTAGTTAAGAAATCACTGTTAACTATGGAGAGACCAATTTCAGTTGAGTGATGAGAATAGAAGCCAGAGTGAATAGGGTTGAGGAATGAGAGAAGAGTGGAGGCAGCAAGTATAGATAATGCTTTCAAAGAATTTGACTGAGAGGAGAAGAGATATAGGATAATAGGTAACAGGAATAATGCAATCTAGAGAGAGGGTTGTTGTTTTTTTTAAGAATGGGGGAGAAGAGTGTGTTTGTAGGCATCAGAGAAAGAAAGGTAATGCTTTGAGTTATACAGAACACTTTCCTCATAACAATGCTGTGTGGTATATGCTACTGTTATTATCTCCCTTTTTACAGATGAAGTTAATTAAATTGCCTATGTTCCCACAGCCAGTAAGACTTGGGAGTTAGGATTCAAACCCATGTCTCTTAATTCCTAAGTCCAGTGAGATCTTTATAGGTATCATACTGTGCTTCATTATTTTGAATAGATTTTTTGAAATACCTAGACAAATAAATGGATAATAAATAATATGTAATTTTTTGTGTGGGGATGATGGGTTTCTTTTGGGGATATGTTGAGTTTGAGATGCCTCTAGGAGATCCGCATAGAGGTTTTCAGTGTGCAACTGGCAACTTGGGAGAGAGACTGGGGCTATATATATATATATATACATATATATATATATGTATATATATATATATGTATATATATATATATACTATATATATACATATATATGTATATATATATATATACATATATATATACATATATATATATATATTATATGTATATATATATATATGAAGACCTGGAAGTCATCTGCAAAGACATGATAACAAAACTTGTAGCAGCTGATAAGCTTAACAAGGTATGTTTTGTAGGGTAACTTCCTGACCCTTTGAAGTTATCATAAAATTTTCCTCCCATTCCTCCCCAAAATGCCTTTGTGCCATTGTTGAAAATGAGATAGAACACTGCACAAGATGCATTGTTGACTTGAGGCACCATGCCATTTATTTTGTTCTTAGACATTTCAAAACTTTACCCCAAATTGCATATTTTTCTCTTCAACCTAGTCTCCAAGTGGATGGTAAAATGAGAAGAGAAGGGTTTAAGAGACCTAGTTTGTACAACACATTTTTAACCTTTCCATCCAGTAACCCTTCCATACTACATTTTTTTTTTTTAGGTAAAAGAAAATCCAATCACTGGACAAGGAACTCACAGGTCAGGGAAAATTCAGCAACTGAATTGTGCTTCTGTTTTATTGATCATACTAAGCTCCAACACAAGTTTAAATTCCCATAGCTTTATCATGCTTCTTCAAATACTAATGGTTCTTAAAGGCTGCGTAGTGATTGCAACATGAAAATAAAGTCAAATCTTTCATTCATGTAAAGTTCATTTCTGATACCACTTAACTCCTGTTCTGAAAGCTATAGCAATGTTGGTCTCAGTAAAAATATCTCCTTATTCCTTCAACACACTGTCTTCCCTCAAATAAGGGAAAAATCTGATTGACCTGAAAATATTTGGGGGCACAGTTCCTCTTTTTTTTTTTTAGAATTGGAAGGAAGCACAAATCAAAGAGAGGAATCATTGACTTGAGCAAGTGAGGTGAACTTAATTTATAAAGTGGGCAAGGATGAGGGGTGGGAGGAGCAAAATTGTAAAAACCTCATTTTCTAACAATAGCTGACATTTACAAAGCTGTCATAGTCCTCAGGAACCCAAGGTCATCTCTATACCATGGTACAGGAAAAGGACTTCCCTGTTACCCCTCCCAACCCCCAACTTTTTCCGGAGGTCATAATGCTGAAGGGCAAAGAGTCAGCTTAATAACAACAATAACAATCTGGCACTTATGTAAGTGATTAAGGATTGCAAACATTTTATATATGTCATATCATTTGATCTTTACAGCAACTCTGGGAAGCAGATGCTACTATTCTCCTTATACAGATAAGTAAGCAGGTTAAGTGACTTGCCTAATGTCCCAGAGCTAATGAGCATCTGAGGCAGGATTTGAACTCAGGTCTTTCTGACTCCAAGTCCTGTGCTCTCTATATGCGCTATGACACCTAGCTGCTTCCAATTTTTTATGCAGCATTAGCTTAACTCTTGGTACTCTAAATATGAGTTCCTTGTCCAGTGATTCACAAAGACATGCTACTAGAGGAAGTGCATTATACCAGTATTGACATTTATCTGCCACTTTTACATATACATTACCTTCTTTATACATTATCTTATTTGGTCCTTAAAACAATTTGGTGAGGTAAGTGTTACAGTATTATTTTTGCCATTTTACTGATTTAAAAAGTGTCACAGAGGTCATCAAGTGACTTGTTCATGGTCACATAATGAATTTTAGAGACCAGGATTTGAAACCTAGTTTCTCCAGACTCCAATTCCAGCACTTCTTTTAGAATATCAAATTGACTCCTTATTATGCACTTTATGTGTCTGGAACAGAAAAGGTAGGGGAGGAGGTGTATCTTTTGTTAGGTAACTAACAAATAGGCTATTCATTAATTAGTTGAATTGACAAATAGAACTGAACCCTGAGCAGGGGTGTGTGTTTTTTTTTCCTCTGGTGGAGTTTTTGTTTGTTTTTTGTTGTGTTTTTTTTTTTTTTTTTTTTTTCAGGAAGCCAGGACCACAGTTGGAGAGGTAGTATGCCAGAGAAGTAGTTTTGTGGTCCAGAAGATTTGGGTCCTGCCTAGAGCTGTCTGCCTCTGCCAGGTACTGACTGTGTGATCCTGGGCAAACAGTTTAACCTTCCAGTTCCCCCCTCAGTAATCTACATTGGTAGAGAGAGTTTTGTCACTAGGAGTTCTCAATTTCCAAGAAATCATAGGTCCAGACCAGAAAAACATAAACAAACACTCATAGTTAAGGACAGTTTTATATAGAAAGCTGGTCTCTAAAAAGATACTTTGACACAGGTAACAAAAAAGAAACAACTTTATATAGTATGGTACAAGTGGCCATGGTCAGGACTTGGGCTCAAGAGCGCTGGGATTCAAATCCCCTTTGTGATACTTATTCTGAGACTTGGCTAAGCTAATTCACTTCTCTGAGGTTGTTTCCTCATCTTTCCTAGCATCTGTAACAGCTACCTGAGGGGTTGTTGTGAGGAAAGTACTTTGCAAAATTAAAATACAAGAGTGAATTTCCATTATCTTTATGAGGTGGTTTATGATAAGTGGTTTGAAAAGTGGTAGACTGTAGTTTTCCAGGTATATCAAGGAGCAAAGATTCTAGGAGAGATTAAAAATAATTTAAAAAACTAAGGCAATTTTGCTCCTAAATTGCATTGTAGATTTTGAGCTGGCAGGTTATTTAGTCCAAGTCTCTCGATTTACATTTGAGGAAAAAGAACCAGGAGGGTTAACTGACTTGCTCAAAGTCACACAGGAACTAAGTATAGAGCCAACATTAGAACTCAGGTCTTATACTTCCAAACTCAGCACTTTTTCCTCTGTACCGCTCTAACAAAGTTACATGTATTATCAACAGAGTAATTCCACCGTTATGGGAAACTCACAATCTGAAGTCTTGAGAGGTGGCTTTTTTTCCCCCTCTGTATAACAGCCTTTTCATTTTCTTTCAAAAATAAAATTTTATTTGATAGGTTTTTTTTACAATGCCTAAATTTCCTTCTGCTCTTTTCTTTATTAAATAACAACAACAAAACCACAAACAAAAACATTCACTTGCTTGGAAGATGACATTTATATTACAAGTATTGCAAACCAGTTTTTTCAGGACTGTCCTTTTATCTTCCTGCAAACAAAATGTGCCACTTTCTCTTGTGCTAAATGCCAGTCTAAGGAGTATATTCAAACACAAAGCTAAGGATAAGGTGTCCAGGGGTGTAGATCAGCCTAAGGAGATTTATCTAATTCATGTCTCCAGGCTGCTCACTATCTCCTCCGCCAGTTAACAACTGTCTATTGTGTAGCAGGCTTCAGTGTGCTCTCCACTTCGGCACCAGCACCAAGATTTTCGCATTTGGGGATTCAGGATTATCCCCACCAAAAAACTACATCCCTTTTCCTCCGTCCCATTGCGGGTTAACCATCTGGAAAAAATAAGCCCCGATCCCAGCCTCAGCTTATCTCCCCGCTTCCTCTCCCCTCCTTGCTCAGTTTTCCAACGAGCCCAGAGAAATTCAACCCTCGCATCCAAGCCTCTAGTCCCTGAAAGGTAACCGGGCATGCTCACTGAGCCTCTTCCAAGGAGAAAGTGCCTCGTTGTAGTGGTGTCCAGAGGCCGGGAGGTGCCGCTGCGCCCCTGCTTCCTTCCATTCGCCTGACCCAGCGGAGAAAGTTGGGCTCCGGGAAAGGCAAGGGAGTGTAGAGGGGAAGGGAGGGGGGGAGAAGAAGGAGAGTGGTGTGGGAGGGGGACGCCAGGAGCGTGTGTCACTCGCTCACTCCACTCCCTCTGTGTATATAGGATGTGCTGAATGGTGCTCTTCAGATCCGCGGCGGTCGCGGAGGAGGCAGCGGAGGAGGAGCAGGAGCCTGAGCCCCAGTCGAGCCTGAGCAGGCGGCAGCGGCAGCAGCGGCGGCGGCTACGGTTACAGCGGCGGCGGCTACGGTTACAGCTGGCTCCCCCGCGCCCGGTCCCTCCTGGTCCGTTGGCCAAGCCCTGGTGCCCGCTTCGTTCCTCGCTCCTCCGTGCCTGCTCTCCCTTGTCTTCTCGGCATCTGCTGCTGCTCCCCGACGGGCGCCCGACACCGCTTTCCACGGAGGGCATGGACCCACGCTTCTCTGCCTGCTCCGCACTCCTGCGCTGAGCCACCTTCCCCTCTGTGAAGGGAAAGGAGGAAAAAGAGAGGAGGGGTGGGGGAAAAGCCAAAAGAGCCCCTCGCCTTTCCCAAACCAATCCAAACCCCAATCCCACCCCCTCTCTTTCTCACCCCACTTCTCTTCCCTTCTCGGATCATCTTTTCTCCTCTGCTGGGAAGCCTCCATGTGTGTAAATGGCCGGGGCACAGCCAGGAGTTCACGCTTTGCAACTCAAACCTGTCAGTGTCTCCGACAACCTGAAGAAAGGCATCAAATTTGTCAAATGGGATGATGTAAGTAGCCTCTTTGGTCTGTTTGTTGAGTTCTCGGCTGTTGCCCTCTCTTGGCGGGGGAGGGGGTTGTGGGGGTGGGGAAGGTGGGAAGAAACACACTCGTTATGCAATGGGCAGAGTGAATCGATAAGGGTGCCAGAAAGTACACATGTTGGAAACTGCACAGGCAGTAAAAGGGCAGAAATTACTCCAGCCAGAGTGTGTGTGTGTGTGTGTGTGTGTATTTGTCTGTGTGTCAGTGTTTAGTAATTTACGTCCTTAAAAGCAGAAAGCAAAGAGATGAGGATTTTTTTTTAATTGCCATGCTAATACCTATGACAAGGCTTACTCTGCCTTGACAGATCATTATAGTTTGAAAAGTGATGTGTGTGGTACTTCTGACCAGGTAGAAAAGTGTACTTAATGTGCTTTGGGAGAAGGAAGCTTCTTTTTCCTCCTACAAACACAACTCCCAAGTCCTCCATCATTCCTCCAGAAAATGACCATTTGGTGGTCTGGGTTATTAATTCGAGAATGGCAAGCTGATCCGTTGTACCCATTTAAGTGATCTGACACTAGACATCATCGGCTCACACCACAGGTTGTTTGCTCCCAAACTTGTCTCTGTCTTCTTGAAATTAGGGGCTCCAGAGAAAGGATAACAGGTATAAAGGGATCATGGAGAAATAAAGTGACATTTTGTGGATTGACAATAGCTTGGCAGGTGTTGCTTGCTAATTTTCCAGAGCTTCCATGGCTTTTAAGGCAACAGCTTGAAAAGACCCTGCTGTGAAGTTTTACCATGCAGTGTTTGGGGTTCCAGCCTGGTAGGGGAGACAATAGGGCAAGGGAAGAATGTAGATGGGAATTGTCATAATTTCAGGGCCCCACAGGGCACTGAGAGTTTTTCACCTGAGAACCTAAAAATGACATTGGGACTCGAGGCATCAATTAGACACCCTCCAAAAAATCACAAAATATTGAGGAAATAAGTTTGGACTGACAATAGGGAATTAATTTTTATCAATACTACATTCCTGATTTCATTCAGAATTTATTGGCATGAATTATTCATTGTGATAAACATGAGACTTCCAGGGTTGAGGGAGATTTAAGTCCAAATGATTGAGGCACCTCTTAATCAGGAGTAATTATAGAACAATTGGGTACGCTTCTTGTTGAAAATGTTTTCCACTCAGCAAATTATAGCCTATTATCCTTCAGGACCTTTCCCTTTTAATGGTCTTATGCCATTTTTCTTCTGTGTGAACACAATTTAGATGGTCCAGGTAAAGGATCCAGTTACTTAATACAGTATATTTGTTTCTATATTTTATGCAGTTGGAAGTATGAATAAAAGGTACTATATTTTCACTGTTTTCTTGTCAATTATCAAAGGCAATAGGCAAAGAATAAAAACTGTCCATCTTTTTAACTCCCCTATCCTGTTTTTTTTTTTAGGGGATGGGGCGCCTAAATAATTTAGAATCTACTCAACATATTCAGAGAATCCAGTAGATATTTGGTCTGTGTCAACAAGTCCATCAATAAAACTGATATTTCTTGTAGAGATTTTTATTCACATTCAGTCTTACTTGACAGAATTAGTGTAATCAGAACTACAGAGCAATACAAAGGAGACACCTGTGACAGAGGTTTAGTAGCCTAAAGTAAGATGAGAGTCTTAGTATAAACTATGAATTCCTTTACCCTTTTTCTCATAACCACATACTTTATGAAAATCTCATTGATTTCTTATTTGATTTGCATGCTACCACAGAAACAAATTAGGATACAGTAGAAAGAAAGGTAAACTAGTCAGCTGTAACAGAATTGAGACTAAGGATGAGCAAGGTATTTGACTACTTAGAGTTCAACATTGAGAGGGGCTGCGGTTCAGAGTATTTAAAAATGTAACTTTTTATAAGTACACATGTTTCTGAGGCCAGAAAATTCTGATCTCTGTGGCTCATTGTATTCTACCAGGAAGTCCGGAAGCTTGTAGTGGACAGCAACACAGAGGATGCACAAATTTTAAAATATCACTAGCCAGTACACACGTGCCTTTTCACTTCTCGTTAGAGGTCTTGATTTCTAACGGTACCTTTCCATTAGTTAGCTGGGCGACACTCCATTCCATTTTGGGTCTCATTCTTATTTGTTCAGTGGAGAGCTCACCTGCCCTGAAACAGAACAGAATTCCTTGTATGGATCCAGAGCTGATATATGATTGTTTTTTGGACCACAATTGGTCAAGTATTTAAGAATTACCCTGTTCACCCCCATGTTCCATTTAGTCTAGACTGCTAACCCTAATCTATATCTTTTCCACCTGAAGACAGGATGAGGATCAAAGTGGCCTTTGGGATTAACATAGATTAGGCCACTTAATATATGTTTTGCAGTAACTGAACTAATACGAGGCTAGGGGTTGAAAAGCCTGGGTTTTAGTTTTGGCCCTGTCTATTAATTCTCTTTCAGCTTCAGTTTCCTTATTCACAAAATGAAATTATTATTATGTTGAATGAGATAACATATGACAGTATATTGAAAATCTATAAAATCCTATACAAATATATAATAAAATAATGACTAACATTTATATAATATCTTTCTATTTACCACCTTCCCCACACATACTTTATATTTTGCTAATTTGATCTTCACAATAAATGTGCCACTAAGCCCATACAAATTTTGTCTGGCATATAAATCTTAGGAGTTTGGAGAAATCTCTTGAGAACTCATGATCTCCCTACTGAGGACATAGAGAAATGGAAATTCTTCAGAAATGTAATAAACTCTAAGGAGTCTTTTTACTTCTCCAGGGATCTTTTGCGACAGTATGATCTTTGTTCCTACAGGCTTAATTCAGAAACAAAATTCCCTAACAATTGTTTGTGAAAATAAAAATCTAAGTAGAAATTTGACTTCAGAATCCTACACAATAGAACTACGAGGAAGGAAGGAACCTTGAGAAGTCATTTTAACTATCTCTTTACATTTAAACAGGATACCCAAGTAATGTGGCAAGTAGAAAATCCCTGTCCTTGAGGATTTCCCATGTAGTCAGAAGAGATGAAATGTAAATATTTGAAATAACTAAAGATCTCCTATTTGTCCTCCAAACTGCTTGGTGTTATCCCAAAATAATTAGCCCAATTTTCTGAATGATATGTGGGAGGCATAATGGGCTTATATGATGCATCCCTAAACTCACATTATATAAAAATATTAAGTACCACAGCCATTTTGGTGGTTATTACAAGCAGAAATTATTTAATTTTTTGTTTGTTTTTGTGGACCTAGCACAGTCCCTAACACAAGAGTAGGTATTTATTCAATGCTTGTTGATTAATGAATTGATTCATAGATCAGAATACATTTTCCATAGCCCAAAATTTTATCAATGACGGGATAAGCACATATATACCAGGAATACCCTCTGAAGGGGTGATTCAACTTTAGGAGTTCATACCACATAGTAAGGAAACTTCTTCTGGTTTTATTTTTAGCATAGGCATTATTTTGTTCAGAGAGACCTTTACCAAAGATTTCCAAGGGGCACTTGTAATCAAATCCAGTGCACAACAAGCCACCAAGCATTTGTTGTAGTAGGAGACTACTGTGCTGAAGGCACTGTACTAGATTGTTTGAGTATGAGAATAAAGAAAAAAAACCCACTGTGTCTCATAAATGAAACACAACGGAAAGAGTGCTGGATTTGGAGTGAGAGGACCTAGGTCAGAATTGTGGTTCTCCCATTTACTATATTTGTGATGTTGGGCAAGTCACCAGACCTCTCTATGAAACCTGGTTTTCTTTTTCATCAAATGAAGAGGTTGGACTAGATGTCCTCAAAGATCCTTTTCATTTCTAATGCTTATGATATTCTATTGCAAAGATACAACATGTAAGCAGACATGTTGGCTTGAGGCTAGGGAGAACAGTAAGGAAGCATATCAGTAAACATTTCTCATAACAAATGGCACATGAGCTAAGAACCGAAGGAAGCTAGAGATTGTAAAATGTGAAGGTGAAGAGAGAGTGCCTTCCAGTATGGGAACAGCCTGTCCAGAGCAGGAGATGGAATGTTCAGCTCAGGGAACAGCAGCATGTTGGGCAGTCTGGCTGGAATGTAGAGTTTGTGAATAAGAGTAATGTGAAATCAGCCTGAAAAGGTAGAGTGTAGACAGATTATTATTGTTGTTCAGTCATTTCAGTCATGTTAGACTCTTCAAGACCCCATTTGGAGCCTTCTTTGTAAAGATACTAGAGTGGTTTGCCATTTCCTTCTCCAGCTCATTTTACAGTTGAGAAAGCTGAGATAAACAGGGTTCAAATGACTTGCCCAGGGTCACACAACTAGTAAGTGTCTGAGGCTGGATTGGAGCTCAGGAAGATGAGTCTGACTCCAGGCCCAGCACTGTGCCACCTTGAAACTTCACTGAATGATACTAATCAGTATGTTATTAATAATTTTCCTCCCATGAACACAGTTCATCAACTTCAAAGAACATATTTATTTACATGTCAAACAAAACAAATTGGTACCTGTCAATGAGAAGCCTTTCGTCAGAGAACTGTTGAGCTTCTTTCTTTTATTATAATGTGTTAAATAGGACTCTATGTAGGCATTAGCTCTAATAGTTTTCCATCTTATGTACCCTTGAAGCTCAAGGTAGATGCCCTCAGTTGCTTCCAGTGATTCCTTTTGTCCCTTTCCCCAGCTTCCAGTGGGTAGTGTTTGTCTTCATTCCTATTGTTGGCCTCCTGGTTTGGCAAAGGAGATTTCACAGGGTTCAATTCAATATACATTTAGTAATCTCCCACTAGATGCAAGATAAATTAGCATTTGGGGATGTAAAAAAAAAGAATAAAGAAAAAGTCCTTGTTCTGAAAGAGTTTATAGTTTACTGCTAAGACCCTACATATACACAGATAA